AGGGACTGACCGCCACCGTCTGTGGGGTAAGCTGGCTTAATTGCAGCTGGGTGTACAGCTCACAGGGTATTCAATCTGGGTCCTCAGCACAGCTCTCCCATCTCTCCCTTGCAATAGACTTTAATACATATCCCATTCATCGAGAGGGAAAGGGATTCTGCAATGGAGCGTCCGGATTTGACCCTGTCCGCGGCACTTTTGGGGTCACTGCATTGTGGAATTCCTCTTGCCGCATCTCCGGGGCATAAGGGAGGGAAGCAATTTAATTCATGTTAGTTATATCCTAATGCTTTAAAAGATTTCTGGGTGTCCAAGCTGTCAAATTAATATTTCAAATCCCAAAAGCATTATAGACTTCATGTACATCATCACAATTACATGAAGAAATCCCATATTACCCAGAGGTCTTTTTTTAATGGTTGATTGCTCCTAAATTACATTGCATCAACACAGACATTGACTAGAGGAAGCCCAGAAAGATATTATAAAGCAATTTTCACACCTTTACAATTTACTTTGAATTAAAAAAGACAAAAAGTTCTCACTGATACATCCCAGGCAGCTTTAAAATCTATGAGGGTCTGGGTTAGGGTTTTTTTTTGTCCTACCTTCATTAGTGATTTATCTTGCCTTCTAAGATCCACCAAGTGCAGGTTACCAATGATCGGAAGAGGAGTTGGACCAGGAGGTAATTTAAAAGCTGGATTTTTATAGCCAGTTGAAAAATAGACTACAGCTAATAATACTGCTGCACACAGCAGACAAACTAATGCAGGATCAGAGAGAAATGAAATTAAAAAAGACATTTTTTTTTGAGTAATAATCTGGTTTTTGGGGTTAGAAGCAATAAAAATGCAGTGGCACTGTTCAGTTTCTGCCAGCTGGCTTTCTGTTTGCTCTCTGCAATTGCTACAAGCACTCAATTCTTATTAAGGTTTGTAGAGTACCTAAATAAATACTGCATACTCCACCCTCTTTAAACACCTCAGAGAATGTGGTCTAAGCAGTTTGCAAAGCCTGTCCAGAAGTAAAGAGAGTTTCAAATTACAAACCCATGCATGTGTGTGCAAGAACATATACATGGGAAAAGGTGCTTGGCATTCCTCTATCACCTCCTCCTCCCTGAGACCTCAAGGTCCTTCATTAGCAGTGCTGTGACCCTCCAAGCACTCTGCTGACACAGGGAAATGAAAAGGCTCTTGGAATCCTGTTAGAACCTCCAGATTCAGGTTTAGGTAGGATTTGAGGTCTCCATGTTACTAGAGACAAAAATCGGTATTGTTACAGGAGACTTTAGCTTTCTTGATGTCAAGTGGAGATCAAAGGTTGTTAATAATGGTAAAGCCCAACTACCCCTGGGGGGTTGTAGCCCATAAACTTCTTCATAAAGTCAGCTCTGAACTGCCTGGGAGGGATGTGATTTCAGACTTTGTGTCTGAGGTAGAAGACATGTAATAGCTAGCCACGGAAAATTAGCTTGGATCAAGTGATCGTGAGTGGATTCATGAGTGCAACTGAAAGGAAAAATTATATTTGAAGCTTCTGGGAGGACTTCATTTTGCAAGAGCAGGTTCTAAGGGATAGAGGGAAGAAGTTAATGAAGTTAATGAAGCCAGCTGACCTGGCAGGCTCCAGAAGGGGAACAAGACAGGAGAATGGAGCGGTTTTAAGTCAAAGATACTAAACACCTGGAGCTTGCATCCCTCATAAAGGCTTAAGCCTTGTAGAAAATAATTGAGGTCTAGCTGGTTGAATAGTGGTTTTCAGGAGGAAGTTTGGCATAACCAGCCAAAGGAATAAAATCATTCAGGGAAGAAAGGGCTGTCTGACATGATGAGGAAGCACAAGGCCAAAGGTACATTTGTCCAAAGGTTAGATCATATAAAGGCCATTATTTAGCAAATATGGGCCCTCAGCCTTGTAAATGCAAAGAAGGCAAGGAAGGAGGTGGATGTGATCCAAAGTGGGGCATGGTCAGCAGGGTCCTGGAGCGAACAGCTGCTGGGCACTCAGCGGAGCTGCCTGCGTGGTGTGGAGATGTTGCAGCACAACAGCCACCCAGAAGCAGAAGCAGGCAGTGTGTCGCAACATTTCTGGGATTTATTTTTTATTAGTTTCCAAGAAATGGGCTGGAGGCAATGGTTTCCCCCACAGCATGCCTAGGATGACTCAGCCCTGCCTGCTCTATGAGCTAAGAGGCAGAGGGGCTGTGAAGACAGGCAGGAAGGATCACAGCTGGCACAGGATGCTGAACGTGGGCACTGCGATGAGAACTTGCAATGGCACATGCTCTGTGCCTGGGCAAAATGTTTGTTCCTTCAGGGTTTTCTTGGACCAGCAGCACCCTGCAGGGCAGAAGTTATGTGCTGCTGCTGCTCTCCTGGTATTTCATCCTTGCCCTGGGAGCCTCTGAACTTATAAAAAGGCCTTTCAGAAAGAGACTTAAATTATCTCTGAAAAGCCAGGGGGAGTGTATTGTGGGTTTTTTTTCAACCCAGGCTCTGAGTGCAATGCATTAAAATGACAAAGGTAAGTAAAAGTCTTGCGATGACAAGAAATTCCTGTCTCACTAATGTGTCTGGTACGTGTTTCGCTCCGGAGCCGCGCTGCTACGTGCTGCCCTGCCTGAGCACACAGAGCCGAGCACAAAGCACCAGGCACTGACACTGTTCTGGGAGCATTCCTGGGGCAGCCAGGCCCCTCAGGGTGCTCATGGCCCAGTTGTCCTCCATCCCTCGTGCCCACGTGGCATTCAGCCACCGCTTGTGACCTGGGTGGTACTGGTGAGGGCGCGGAGCATTGGGTATCAGCCACCTAAAGGTAAGCCACACCACTGCCAGCCAGCCTGGGCCACTAAAGCACCAGCCCTGCATCCTTTAACCTAAATCCCCCAAAATCTCTGTTCCTTTCCTGCCAGCCCCATTCTTGACCAGCAGTGCATCCCAGACTGGAGCCTGTGGGCCTTTACTGTGATGGGTTCCTTGTAAGCACGGGCAAGAGACACAGGAACCACTGAAAGGGGCCACATCAGAGAGCCATGTCCTACCTCACACAGCAGCTGGGATTTTCTGGAGCTAGAAGTCCAGCTATTTCCTTTGAGATGTTTGTGGCTGTGAGTATTGCTCACTCTTTGTGCTGCTGAACATGTCCTGGCTGCAGGCTGCCCACGGATCCCTGTGCTCACCACTCTCGTGCAGGAGTATTGGAGGTGGTGCAGCCCAGCTTTATCAGTTTGACCTGAAATCGAGTTCATACTGTCACACCAGATAGATCAACAGCAGCAGAACAAAATATTTAATGATTAAGTGGGTGATAAGGTCAGGCTTGCAGTAGTTAGACTGCAAATAGAGCAACAGCAAAACAAACGTAAGCAAGCGCAGCAGCAGAGGCTTCCTTGTCACAGAGCTTGCTGAGCTGTGCCCAGGAGCTGGAGCTGGTGGTACAGCCCCTGACCAAGTGCAATGCCAGCACAAGTAGAAGGTGCAGAATCACTGTTAGAGTGCTGCATTTAGTTGTGTGAGCTGAAGCTAGTGAGGAGAGTCAGTGTCTTGACTGGAGGCTGCTATATTTTGTCATCCCTTCATATTCTTTCTCGATCCTTTCCTTCCATTTGCAGCACAGCTCAGCTTTAGATGACAGTAACTTTAGTTTTCTGCTGTAGGTTTACCATAACTGCCCCATTTTCAGTCAAATGGACAATACTGTCCCTATTCATCACAGCACACCTGGTGATTGAGACTGAAGTTTGGAATTAGGAGCCTGTGGATGATGGTTCCCCTGTAGTCAGTGCAGAGAGAGAAATTACAACCTTATGGCAGCTGATTGGTCCCCTGAAGGATCCTTTCTCACTGTGAAGGGTACAGAAGACCTACAGAGCAAGCACAGCTCCTGAGGTGCCAGTGGAGCAGGGGGCTGAGCCTCTCCCAGCTCTCTGGTGGAGCGTGGCAGTCCTGCTGCCCAGCCCCAGCTCCACTGCCCTCACACTGCCTCCTATCTCTGCAGCCACGCTGATTCAGAAACTCTTCCCTTGCCATGGCTGCTCATTTTCTGCCAGTTTAGGGATCTAAGATGGCCTGATAAGGGATTGGACAAGTTCCAGAGCCAGCATGAAGCCAGGAGAGGTGAGGGAGTGGTAGAAATGCCTCTCTTAGCAGAAACGGAAAGCTGCTCCTTTGGCCCCATCATAAATGGGCTGCTCAGCATAAAGTGCCCGGTGTGAGTTGGAAAGAACTCACTTCCCAAACCACTTAGATGTTTTCTGATAACTGTCCCGTCCCTGGGTCTTGGCATCAGCCCATGTTACACCCTTGTGTCTGGGACTCTGTAATAAAGATAAGGCAGGTTGTATCGCACAATGGAAGCTCAGTCTGAGGCTCAGCTGAACAACCATCCTGAGGAGGTTTTCCAGATCCTTTGAGGATCTCTTGTCTCCAGCTGGGCCATTGATCAGCTCTGCTATAGGGCTTGAACTTTGGGCTGAGAAATTCCCCATAGAGGCTGCCAGGGGAGAGCTCTGATGGTTACATCTACAGAGGAGGTCTGAAGGCATTTCACTCTTTCAAAGTGTCCTGAAAACAGCATCTCTGATGTTCCAGGAATGAATCACAGTTCCTGAGAGCAGAACTCAGAGCTGTCCAAAGGGTTTACATTGTACAGACATTGCAAGAGCTGCTGGAGAGAATGTCATGAATGAGAGAAAGTAACAATGCCTGGTGTCTTCCTTCCCCTAAAGCCCAGGGACAGCTTTTCCCCACTGTTGCTAGATTTGCTTTAAAGCTTGAAGTGTTCACTACTCTAATGCTGTGCTGTTTGATCATTCACAGGGCACAGCACAGACCAGGTGAGGCATGGGAGTCAGGGTAAAGCCGACATCAGCAGTGAGATCCAGGTCTGACTTATCCACTCCTGGGGGAGGTTGGAACACAAATTTGCGGAGCAAGCCCGAGAAGAAGAGGAACAGCTCCATTTTGGCCAGTCCTTCACCAAGGCAAGCCCTTCGTCCTGAAAACAACCAGGGGAGAAGTTAATGATCAGCACTGTAACTGTTAATGTTGATGTCTGAGACCTTCTAAACTGGAGGTACATTCTGGAAGAGCAGGCTGCTGAGGTAGGAAATCTCTCCTTCCTTCTTTCTGTACATTAGAGGTGCTACTGATTTGGTCTCAAACTACACAGAAGTCTGTAGATATATGAAAATTTTCAGTGACTGTGAGTAAATCTGTGTCTCCCATCTCTCCCAAAGAAGAGGTGGTTACCTACAGCAATGGTGGATAGGAGAAATGACCAGAAATCCCTTACCCTCTGTTCTGTGTCCCTGGCTTTCCTGAAATCAGGGGGAACTGCCATTAGCCTTGCACCCACACCCCTCTTACCTATGGAGAATGGAATAAATGCTTCTCTCCTAATGAAGTTCCCATTGGCATCCAGGAAATGGGAAGGGTTGAACTGATCTGGGGTTTTCCAGTGTAACTCATCATTCAGAGCAGAGGTCAGAAGTGGAATAATCTCAGTACCCTGAAAGGGACCAAAGAAACTCATGGAAGATGAGGACACTCTCTTACTTGACCCAGGCTGTGTTATTTTTCCTAATATGAAGAAGCAAATAAGATGTGACAAGTAGAATTGGGGAATGCTTCCCTGCCCCATCATTGGCTCTGTCTGTTTTCAGTAGCTGCTGTTTTATTTTTTGAACCACAAAACATTCTTCTCTTACAAAGTCAGATCTTTCAACAAATGTACTGGGGTAGAGGTTCCACATTTGAAATATAAGATTCAAAGCAGTGAGATTTAATTAAATCTCTGGTTAATCATGATTCAAACAACTGTACCATACCACAATCCATTGTATGTTTATAATAATTATCCTGGATCCAAGACAAAGGGTCACAGCACAGATTAAACCATACCTCACTGTGTCTTTAGTTATTTATGTGTTTCTTCATCTGCTTTAAAGAAAGCTGTGAGGAATCTGTGCAGCATAAGCTGCCAGCCTCAGAGCTCACCTTAGGAATCACATAGCCTCGGAAATTCACATCGCTGGGAGTCGATCGTGATACGCCCATGGGGACAATATTGGCAAACCTTTGTATTTCGTGTATTACTGCTTCTGTATAAGGCATTTTTTTCCGGTCCTCCAACTTAGGCAGCTCTCCTGGTTCAATGACATGGCTCATTTCTTCCTGAATCTTTCCTTGGAGGGAGGAAGGTATTAAGAAGCTGATAACAATCTCATCTTGCAACTGAAATGGCTACCAGTTTGGCAGAGATGAAGAAAAGGGAAAGCTGTAAATGTCTGGGAAGGGCAGAAGTGGGTAAGTCAGGGGATGGTGTGGTCCTTTCAGGTTTGTTGTTGAGTTAAGGCAGCTTGAATGGAGTCCCTACAGTCCATCTCATGCCTGGCTCTCATTACACACCTTCATTACCCCACAACCTTCAACAGAAACCAGATCAGAATCAGCTCCTGAGGAGACCTTAAGTGACGTAAGCCCATAGCCTGCAGGCGAATAATGATGGGGGAGCTCCACTGTGACTGTAGGCTGCCCCTTAGCCTCTCCCACTTGGCTGGGCTGGTTTATTGCAATCCAGATGAATAAAATTCCTTTGTAAAGTCAACAGTTGCTATCTCTTTCAGAGCACTCAAAATAATTACTCTAGGCAGCACTGAATGAGTTCCACTCCCTTCCACAACCAAAGCCGTAAGCATGCAACAATAAATTGTACAAGAGAATTGTCCTCCTTACTCTGAATTTCTGGGTATTTCATCATCAGAAGCAGCCCCCAGCGCACAGTTGTGGATGTAGTCTCAGTCCCAGCAGCAAAGAGGTCCAGAGTTGAAAACATCAAGTTTCCATTGCTGAATGCGGTGTGTGGTTTCTTTGACTCCTTCAAAACATGTGGGTAATACAGCAAGTGGTACCCATATGTGACTGTGTTGCCACCATTTTTATCTGCATTTTAGCTTTCTGTGACTTATATGTGCTGGAAAACTAAACATTTTGTCTTTTGGCATTATGGCCTATGCTGTGTGGAATTTGTCTGGTCCCAAGCATATGTGTAATCCCCAAGTTTAGATATTAGAAATAATTCCAATAAATTGGAATTTATTTACTGCAAGACAGTTTATCACTGTACCCTTCCTGCAGGATGGTTTGGGATGATCTCCTCCTTATGTGTGCTGAGTGGGAGCTTATTTCACCCTCAGGGGATGTCTCAACAACTAAATCCCCTTAACCAGCAGTTCCAGTGGGGCCATGAGCGAATCCAGCACAGCTCAGTGTATGAGCTTTGATATATTCTGCAGTTCTTCTCTTTCCACTCACTCCCAGCCCCTGACAGATGGCCAGTCCTAAGAATAAGTCAGAGCTAAGGGAACAGAAAGACGCTGGGACTCAGCTTTAAAGTACCTTTTTTTGCTTCACCAGAAAGGCATCAACAAAGCCTGTTAAGTCATTTTCATTAAGCTCCTCTTTGTGCTCCTGGAAGAGCTTCTGGAGAAAAGCATTCAGTTCACTGATATTTTGTAGAACAGTCTTGGAAGCTCCAGACAGAAATCCAAGGGATGGGTAGAAGTTATATAACTGTGAAGCAAGAGAAGTTTTACTGTTAATTGGCATTTTTTAATACATACTGGTATCCCAAATCACACTGCTGGTCTCTTGTCCTATGCCCTCACATTTCAGGCTGCAATTCCCCCCATCCTACAATCCAAGGAGCTCTGGATTCCTGCAGAAATAGCATGTTCTTTCTGCAATTCAAGGAGGCAGGTTTGGAATTGTGCTTATGCTCTTCAAAGAGGGTAAAGTTCCTTTCCTCAAGACTTTGTTGTTTTGTTGTTTTTTTTCTTTTACTAATAAGCTGCACTAAGTGCAGGAGTCTGGGAATCTGTGCATTGCAGATACAGAACCACAGATTTGTTCTGTACAGGCTGACTGACTGATAATGTTCTTGTTCTCAAGGAGCAAGATGTGGGAGGCCAGGAGAACAAGTGCTGGAAACTGGATATCCCCCAAAGAACAAAGAGCTAAAACATAAAATTAAGCTCTTACCTGCACCATAGGGGAGCCCAGCAGCTTAGTATTTTGATTTATCAGCTTCAGCAAAGTTATAAATACTGGATCATCATATTCAAATCTCTTTCCAAACAATATAGAGCAGATGACATTGGATACAGCATTGTTGAGTATCATTTTTGTATCAAATGGTTTCCCTGAATTTTAAGCAATGAAAACAAATGACAAAATGACTATGTTCATTTCAGTCTGGTTCTCATGGAAATATAGTCCTGAGCTCCCAAAGAAAACTCATTCCCCACCCAGGATTCATAGCAGGGAGCTCTGTTTCAGTGTTTTAAGGCCTTGGTTCAATTGCACCCTATGCTGAACTTTAACCACAAGATACCATTTACTCAAAGTTAAACTTTCATTAATCTTTATTGTTCTGCTAGACCTGTTCTCTGTCTCTGGATGAAAGACTTGACACTCACCATGATAGGACTCAAAATATTTGATCAGGGAATTTACTTCCTCCAGGATTCGGACCTCAAGGGTTCTCTTTCCCATTCCGAAATCTCGCAGTGTGGACAAGGTAAATCTTCTCATGGTTTTCCATAGCTCTCCATGGCTGAATGCTATGCCTAAAATAAGGTGTAACATCCTTATGGCACCTGTGGTTCATAAATGTTCGTACACACCGGTACCTCCTAAGATCACAAAAAGTGATCTGTAAGAGGACAGTACTCTCTGCTGTGAGAATATAATGAACAGAGACAAAACTTATCCAAGCAAAAGGTCAGTTACCATTTCCTTGTGTCATTTTCCTAAATATGGGTATTTCTGCCCTTTCTCCAAACTCTTCAGCATGATTTAAAAGGGCATCCTTGATGGTTTCATATCCAGCCAGTACCACCACCTTCCTGGGTCCAAAATGCACCGTGAAGACGTTGCCATATATCTTGGAGAGCTGTCAAGGTGAATAAATATGTTCATTCAAAGCCAGATCTGGACTCAAAACACTAGTACTGGCCACTCTAGGAGGTTTCTAGACCAAAAGGAGCCTCCCATCCCTGCCTGATGTCTCCAGGTGCTGCTGTAATTCAAGTAGTGAGCAACAGCTATCGATTGCCAGCATCTCTGCTTGCACCCTGTTTGCACAACAAGGTGTCTGCTATCACTGCTCCTATCAGGGGAGTCAATAGAGTGCCATTGCATTCCTGTGGTGTTCTGCAGTAACAGGCCAGCAATACCACCTTGGGAGGCTGGTTAGAGAATGCTGTAGCAGGCAGACTTGGTTATTGTAGTGCTGGTGACCTGAGGCAAGCAGGCGTGCACACACCTTTGAGGCTGAAGCCACAAACACTGCAAAAACAAAGCCAGACAATAACTCTTTCTTTCAGGACAGCACTTGTCTCTAATTATGGCAAGGTGGGTAGTGTTGCAGTCATCACAGAATTATTTGCTGGCCACCAGAAACTGAATCCAACTAGGAAGCATATTCTGGTAGATAATGTCACAGGAGCATTAGGCTTTTATAGCAAATTAAAAATGAATCATCTATTACCCTGAAAGGTGGCTTTGACAAGCTAATCATTCACTTGGTATTTTAGGCTTCTTTTTAACACACTGCAAGCCATCCACTCCAAATGTCTTCTTGTTTCTGATGTGCCTGGGTTACCATTTTCTATGCATTAGATAGATTCCACAAATTGAATTTCAGATTAGAAGCAGCTCCTGTTATTACGCCAGACAAATTGAATTTGTTTTCATCAAACAGTGGTTTGACGGCTTGGGAGATAACATTAGCACTGGTTCTTTCATCCCTGGCAGCTCACAGAGTGTGTGGCAGACCCAGGGGCAGGGAATCACAGCTGCCTCCGAGCCTTCCTTTGGCCATCTCCTTGCATTAGTGCTTCCTGGCATCTGCTCTGGTTTTACTCAGCAGCACAATGTGGCAGGCCTGAAAGCCCAAACAAAGCTTCTTGGTAGATTATAGGAAATAAGTCTGGTGCTGTCACATGACTTTTGCACCATAAAATCCCCCAGTACTGCCAAAAATAGTTCATAAATAGTTTCATACCAACATCCTCAAACATACCCAGGATCAGATGGAAGCTCAGGACCAGAAGCCCATCAGAACTAATCACTATACAATTCTCTGCCCCATAAATCAAGGCAGATGAGCACTGTGTGTCTGCTGTAGGAATTCTGTACTTGGGCAACACAGGATGCCCTTTCTTCTAAAGCTAACTGGAGGATTGCAGTGTCTGCACTTCCCTCTCACTGCAGATGTTCAAGTGGCTGAAGGAGCTCCCTGGGGACCAGCTTTCCCCCACCATAGTGTCCAGTGAGCAGCAGGCACACAGGGCATGTGACAGGTCCCTCACAGCACCTCAATTGTCTCTACAGCAACCAGATCAAATCTGAATTCCCACTGAATTGTCCCCAGGTCCCTATGGGAACACAGCAGACACTTTCTGAAACAAACATTGCCCCTGGCTTTTTAATATTTAAGTCTTTTTTTTTTTTTTGTCCTCTCTTTTAGAAATATAAGTATCCATGGAGCTGTGTAAGCAAAAGCAGTTTGTTTTGATAGACATGTAAAATCCATGCATCAAGTCCTCAGCCACCTTGGGCAGTGTGTGCAGGGGGAGGCCTGGGGAAGCAGAATTGTGCTTTTCTTTGCATTGCAGAGATGTAATTAGTTTTGGAAAAAAGTATGCACAGGACACTATGCACATCCCCTTTCTCTCTGGTGTGGGGATGGTACCTTTTCTTGCTGCATCCCCTCCATCCACCCATCCTTCCTAGAGGTCTGGTGGCAGTGAGACATCTCTTGATGGCAGCAGCCTGGCCCAGCTCAAGTCTTTTACCTGCAGCCTCTGAAAGGTTCAAAACACCAGCAATTTGGAGTAGATTGCAAGGGGTGGGTGGTCTACACTTGAGTGTGCATGAAGAAAGGAGTGTGTGTATTATATTCATATAACAAATACAAGTGTGCATGTGTGCTCCTCTGAAGGTAAAGTCGTTCTGCCAGCCTGCCTGTGTGCCACATATCTCATTGCGGCCCTCTACACAAAGCAAACACAACCACATTTGTATTTCCCCTGCTGCATTTCTCATTTCAGGAATTGCACATTTGCCCCCTGCCTGCTCGCTCAGCCCCTACCTCTGTCAGCGACTGGAACGGCTTTCTCAGGTCCACCACGTTCAGGTTCCCGAGCAGAGGAAGAGGTCGTGGCCCAGGGGGCAAATTGCAAACTGATTTCTTGGAGCTGGAGAGAAAGTAAAGGAGAGCAAACAGCCCTGCCGCCAAGCAGAGCAGCGAGCTGGAGCCCATGTACTGCAGGAAAATCTGCACAGCCATGTCCAGATCAGGTGAGGGTATGAGCATCTTGGGGTCCCTTTATAGCCCTTCTGTTACTGAACACACCTTCTGGGGAAGTGGTTTTATGCAAGGAAAAAGGATCTGCAGACTTGTTTACATCCACTTAGACCAGATGTACTCCATTGTCCTGCCAAATAAAACACCTCTTTCATTCTGAACCATGGATTATCATAATCCGCAGTTCTTGTTTCATCTACAACACTGGGACGGGGTGTTTGTTTTCCAGTGAAGATCTGTGTTATGGGCATGTTGTTCTCTATGTGATTTCAGGGTCAGAACTCAAGGACAAGACCCATGCTGGACAGCTGTCACTGTGCCAGGTCACAGGACTCAGCTGGACCACTGGTGATGCAGTGGAGGAAGCAGGACACAGGAGGGAGAGCCCACAATAACGCATGGCCCAGGTGCAGCTGGCAAGCAAGCCCTTGGGGAGGACAACACTGACCACAGAGAAGCTGGAGTGCTGGTTGCATGAAGATGTGCAAATTCAGGATTGCTGACAGGAGCAGATCTATTTACAGGTGACAGCTATGATTGTTTTTGCTTTCCTGCCACCCCAGTGAGATCACCTCCTTGAGCAAATCAGTGTTTTTATTGCTAGCATTGTTACTGTCCTTGTCCCAAAAATCCCCTACCAGCAATCCCAAAATGCCCCTGAAACTACTTCAATCACTGTTTGGCAGTTTAGTGCCCAGGGAGCTGGGTGCCTGGATGGCCATGCCTGGGTGCCTGGTGCCTGGTGATGACTCTCTCTGTTTATGAACAGCTGCATGCAATCCTCTAGGAGAAACTGTCCCCTGCAGGCAATCCTGATTGAGAAAGAGATCCTGAATCCTTGTAACCTGGGAGGAGCCAGGATCAGCCTCTGCAGCTGGCCAGGCAGAGGATGGAGGAGGGAGGCTGCCAGGAGGAGCACATGGCAGCAGTTCTGGCCCTGCAGGTACTGAGTCATGTCCCAAGCCAGGGCAGGGTCCTGCAAGAGCCCACGTGCCCAGGTGACAGCTCCAAGAGCCACCCCCACCCTCTGCATCCCTGGGAGATGACAACAATGCAGAAGTGACCATGAACAAGAAGCCAGTTGTAGAAATGGTGGCTCTGGGGGAAGGAGCTGATTTGATGCTCTATCCCATATTCTCCTGTGGGGATATTTTGCTCCCCAGTTGCAGATTCTGGCAGATTACTGGGCTGTGCTGCTGTTCAACCCCTTAGAAATCTTTAGTTTAATAATTCTTTTGCTAGAATTCTCCAAGGTTCCCAAATGCAGGCTACACTGATGGAAAAATGATGATTATTTATTAATAATAATAAAAGCACATTAGCAAAGGCAAGGGGAATCAATAAACTCTAACTGGATTGATATGAAGGTGTCTGCACATCTGCCTGCTCTCCAAGGCTTGTTATCAAGGAGTGGAGTTTTTCACAAGGGGGAACTTTCCTGTGCAGAAGAGGACCAGGCAGGCTGAGCAAAGAAAGGAGGGCAATGCATGGCCACATCCATCTCAAGATTTGCTGCAGAGCTATGAGGTCTTGGCCTGCACCCTCCTCTCCCAGGCATTTCCAATAATACCCTGTTCTGCCAGATTCTTCTCTGAGCAAATGGTGTGACTACTGGGACTCGTGAGACTTTATAACATGCAGTAAGAGGGAGGGAAAAAATCCCTGCATGGGGCCAGTTGAGTACCAAAGGAGGAAATCTGTTGCTGTTTACACAGAGCTCTGTTGGAGTAGAGTTGGCTGCTGCCAGAGTGAGCAAAAGCACCTTCCCTAGGACTTCAATCTGAGGTGACAATATAGAGTGAGACCCTTTCTCCAGTAGTGAGCCCATGGAGTAGCAGCTTGCTGGACTGATGCCCTGTGAGAACTGATGGATGAACACTGCAGAGTGAGGGAATTTACAGTTTTAAAATACAGCCAATGTGGTGCCCTCACCCCCATTTCTTCCTCACATCCCTCAGCTCCCAGTGTGCTGGCATCCTGAACACAGCCTGCAGCCACAGGCTTGCAGGTGAGGATCCCACACAGGACTGGGGGAAAACATTGCTCCCAGCTGATGTCTTTGTACCCACCCAAGGCAGAGCCACCTTCAGGTGAGCAGACTGTGGGCACAGCTCTGGGGACTCTTCAGTTCCTCCTGGAAAATGAGCCTGTGCTTAAACACCACAGTAACTCCTGTGTGCTCATCTGGAGAAGGTCACATCACCTTCTAATGGGCCACAGCTTAACAGTGTAACCTCACTGTAGGACAGTGCAGGGAAAGGGTTGTGATAAAGCCATAATTCAGTCAATGACTGCTGATAAGATCATAAACCATGAGAGTGAACACCAATGCTTGTGAGCCTTGCAAGGCTCTGCCACTGCTTTACAGCTGCCAGAGATGCCTATCAGCCTGTGCATTGTTATCAGGGACAGAGAAAGCCTGAGCACACCCTATTAAACATTAACGTTTTTAAAGACCCAGATGTGTTAAAACTCTGTTTTGCTTGCCTTGACAAATGGCAGAGCAAAAAGAAATCAAAAGCTTTCTGACTCTGACCTCTTTCAATTTTTCACCATTATTGCATTGTTTTATTGGATTAAACCCACTTCTTCCCACCTTGCAAATCTGTACTTCTACAGGATTACTACAGGGTAGTGATCAGTATCCCAAGTGTTCACTTTGCTCATTTTTGTACAAAAGACTCTAATTTTTTTTCATTCATCTGTCAAACCAGTGTGGGTTGCAAACCTACTTTGGGAAGAAAGACTTCTGAAAAATATTTTTAAAATCTTTATTTCATGGCATGTTTTTTTTTTAAAATAAATTCTTGGGTTAGTTTTTCTTCCCATATTCTGACTTGAAAGATTGTATGTGATGAGTCTGGTAACTGGGAGAAGAAAACAAAAAAGTCTGTGCATGAGAGTAGTGCATGGTCCCTGTGCAGAGCCTAATTTCCCACTTGTGTTAAGCATTTACCATTCTTGAGAACTTTTTTGCTTTTAAAAGCCTCCTTCTTGGACTGAATGGATGCCATTCCTTCATGAGTCTCACTCAGTGAGAAAACACATGGGAGATCCTTGGTTTTGGTGCTGGTAATGTACCTTTTAATATGCATAGCTACAAAAAAATTTGCAGTAAAATCCCTCTCAACTGCAGCTAGAACCATGATCTTCCAGATCTACATTTACACCAACAAGTCAAGGCAGCCTGACCTGGGAGGTGAGTATTGAGTAGGCCGTGTTAGAAGAGAAGATTTTCAAAATACAACTTCTATAAAATAAAAGGCTGATAAATCAAATGCCTCAACACAGCTCCAAGGATTTATTTGTTCTGGGCCTCTGGTTCCTGTCTCTCTCAACAACATATTGCAGAAATTGTATTAATCCAAGAGAAATCTGAGGCATACCATGAAGGGTAATAAGTTGGTATCTACAGAAGCAGGGTCCCAGCATCTTGCTTTTGGGCCCTTGCCTTGATGCAGGTGGAGAGAAGTGGATTTAGATGTACCAGAAGTGCAAAGAACAATTTAAGATGAAGGTTAGTTTTGCCTCTCAGTGCAGCGTTGGTATTTCTACAATGTTTCTCTCTAAACTGAAGAGGCTTTGGCTCAGTAATAACTGAAAATGAGCTATCACTGCATATCTTTATAGAGCACATAACATTTCAAGGCCCTGACCTTATTGGCATGAAACTACAATTTCCCTGTAAGTGCAAAACAATAATATTTCATTAATCATCCACAACAGAAATCCCCATTCCCCAGACTATTCTGGCAATATTCTGCATTTTTGCTTGTCTAGGAACCTGAATTAAAAGGGAGAAAAATGGTTTAGTACAGCCTGTGGCAGTGATGGAGCAAGAGGCCTTATGTAAGAGCTGGCGGCGTGCTCGCCTGACGAAGGTGAGGCGTAGGAATGAGTGATCCTGGAAGGATGTTTCTCTGAGGTGTGTTCTGTGCCTGGGCTGGGAACAGCAGTCTCAAGGGCACAAATTCCAGCATCTGAATGTGCTTGGTCTTGTTCAACTCATTAATTTCCTACAGCTATCCCAAGTCAAGCTACAAAATCCCCTAGTGCTTTATTCTGAGCCTTTCATGGCTTGTCAATAAATTATTTTCCAATTAACTACCTGATAATTTGAGTCTGCAGGCTCTTAAAAGAGGCAATGTGGTGAGAGAGAGAAAATAGTGGAAGTCAGGGACGTTTCCCTGCCCGTAAAAAATAATAAAGGTTCTTCTCTGAAGTATTATTCAGTTTGGTGCTTCCAAAGAGTAATGGTGAGTGTGTAATAACTCCTTCTGAGGAGATGTTTGTCCAGCTGGTGGATAAACACCAGCAGTGGAATAAGTTTTCAGCATTATCTGACAGCACTGGAAAAGAACAGTTTTTAATGTTGCTTCAGTCCATAATTAATGATGACGAGCTCTGATTCAAGAAAAGGATTTTTATTTCTCTTTTAGTCTCTTGAGCTGTGTAACTTGAAAGGGGAAGATCCAAAATTTTCCCTAGTTTGGGAAGTCTTCCAATTTGAGCATTCTAATTTTTGGCAGGGGCTCAGGACTCCAGACTAGAGATTCTGTGAAACACTATGAATAATCTGAACTCTCTTGTACAATGGGCACCCTTTTGCTGAAGCAGCTATTTCAGATTTCCCTGATGCAGTCAAAGTCTCTCACTCCTTTGAAAGATATTATGTGAAAAGCATTTAGTTCTCTGTTTGTGGCTCTGTTTTTGTTGAGTTCTTTTGGAACTGGTTGGTTTAATCTGCAAATGAGGTTTTTTTCCTTCACAATGATTATCTAATGGGGATTTCATTCGATCTCCTTGGGAAAAATATATCCTAAACTGC